ATTTTATTAGAGGAAGACTGTCTACATAAAAGTTTTTAAAATATAGGTCTCTGATTTAAAGACAAGAAAGTCTTCCAACTTTTAAAGTGAAGCAACTAACGAAATGCTGATTTAAAAATGAAAATCACAAACAAGCAAAAAGTAAACACTTGAAAAGCAAAAACTGAAATTTCAAGTTACATAATTACAAATTAAACTCAATTATTATGTAATATTACTTTATTCCTTCAGTTCACTATCCATCTTTTTATTCTATCATTTTTACATTAAAATAAAGATGACAAGTATTAAAATAAGATAGACAAGGATGGTGGTAGTAATTGAAGGTTTTCAATTAAAACACTTTAGATGTAAATCACATTGTTAAAACAGACTACTAATTCTGCAAAATACAGCAACCAAGTAGACCACACAGTTTTACTAAGTAAAATATTCTATCTTAATACGAAAGTCAAGAGAAATAAAATATTTCACATATAGAATGTAAATAAACTAAATAGGTACCAAAAATAACAGCCAAAAACTTATTTGGGGTAGAAGGAAAATATTTAATATTACTTACTGCTTACCAGGACTATGATGAGTTGCAAATTCTCCACTCTGAAATTCATCTCCTGCCACATTCACTCTACCAGGATTAAAAGGTCCTACTGCAGTCTTGGTCTGTGAAGTTAAAGATGGGGTGTATGTTTGTATATTAACACCAAAACTACTTGACTGCAGTCCTTTAGCGACATCTCCCAAGTTGGTATTCTACAGTGATGTTATATGTGTAATCATTAAGTTCACATCTCGCCCAGCATACAGAGCTTATACCTGTTGCTAAGGTTGTAGCATTAGAAATATGGATGTCAGAGTCTGGTTCTGTAGTGATAACACTATTACCCATTCCTGCATTTACCTTACTTCTTGAAAGACTGGAAGTGGAGAAATCCAAATCTTTGGCTCTGTTTTTAGTTCCAGGAAGTCCCCATTCAATAAAACTGGAAGAATTTGTCTTTTTCCCTCCATTTGTTTCTATGTCCTCTTCATCATCAATAACAATTGTCTCACTTATATTTCCCTTCTGAGAAGCCAGATCTCTTGAGGAAGGAAGAATTACGGAAAAATTTCCTTGCAGCTTTTCATTTCTTGACGAAGCAAATTTAAAGTTTCTTTGATCAGCTATTGCTGGAGCAGAATTTGAAAGAGGTTGTATAGATTCAATAAATACAACATCATCATCATCATCATCATCTTCCATTGATGAGTTTCTAGATCTATTAATTAAAGGACTAGTTGAGTCACCAAATGAATTTCCTACATCCGTGAGACTAGCTGCCATGGCTTTACTCCCTAATAAAAGAGGAGTCTGTTCAGTCAAGTCTAATCTTCCCACTGAACGTTTATCCATGCCAAAGAACCTGTAAGAGAGAGAGAAACAAACAAAAAAAAGTTCGAGATTATGGCATTTCACTGCAGTGAAATAACACAAATGAAATTTTAAATTCTTTATGTGATTTTTCTCTAAGTTTTAGAGAAAAACATGTCACCCATTCTGTTTTTCCTCTCCCATTAACAATTTAATGCTTACTTCTTTGGAGTTTGATGAAAGTGAATTATCCAAATTTTGGTAGCCCTTAAAAAAAAATTTACTCAATTTAACCTATTCACCCTTTACACTGAAAAAACACCTAAGTCTTCCTTTGATATAGAAAATAGTAACAAAATAATTGGTTTTTTAAAAATTTTATTTCTATATTTTGTTTTGTTAATTTTTTTTTGAGAAAGATTAGCCCTGAGCTAACATCCATGCCCATCTTCCTCTACTTTACATGTGGGATGCCTGCCACAGCATGGTTTGATAAGTGGTACATAGGTCCACACCTGGGATCTGAACCAGTGAACCCTGGGCTGCCAAAGTGGAGTGCGCGAACTTAACCGCTATGCCACTGGGCTGGCCCTAGTAACAAAATAACTTTATCAAGTACCAATAACCCAAAGTCCAAATATAATCAGTATACTACTTATACTTTTATCTACTGAACTGGCTATAATACTGTCCGATCCCTATTTCTCCAGTGTCTTGGTCATTGTTTTTTTAAATTCTCTGCTTTCAACACAACTAGGTGATTAAATCTTTCTTTTCCTTGTCTAGGAATTGCCAGACATAATGCTAGGGGTTTTTTACATAAAATTCTGAAAAGGGGCCAGCCCCGTGGCCAAGTGGTTAAGTTCATGTGCTCCACTTCTGCAGCCCAGGGTTCTAATCCTGGGCGTGGGTATGGTGCTGCTTATCAGGCCACGCTGAGGTGGCATGCCCCATACCACAACTAGAAGGACCCACAACTAAAAATACACAACTATGTGCCGGGAGGCTTTAGGAGAAAAAGGAAAAATAAAGTTTTAAAAAAAAAATTCTGAAAAGAACCCCATGATACAGGTAGAATTTAATCCATTTTACACATCAGTAAAGAGAAGCTAAGTAACTAAATTGTTCTGGGTAAGCCCAAATAGGACTTAAACTCAGGGCCTTAACTCTAGGCCCCAAATTCTTAACCACTCTGTTATATTCAACAAAGACTTCTGTGTAGCTAGTCTGCACTAGGGTATGACAAAGGAAAGGATCTAGCAGAGAGACACAGCTGAAGAATATGGAGACGTGAATGATCAGTGCAGCAAAGCATTTAAACAGATGAGAGAAGATAAGGATATGTGCACAGGTAGTAGTGGAAGTGATCAGGACTAAGAAATCACCTGTATCTCAAAGGCAAGAGGAGAAAGGGTAAGTCTAGCTGGAATGTATGTAAGAACGTAGAAACGAGAGATGCACAGCTGAGGTAAGCCTCAGTTTTCTTAGTTAGAAACTCAAGAGAATGAAGTAGTAGAATGATTAAGAAAACTCACTTTATATGGCAGACATCATTCCATTTTAAACATCTTATATTGAAATATGCTAAATAATAAATAACATTTCTAATCAAAAATTTTCCCAACTAATTTTAATTGATAATAGTTACAGTCATGTAATAGATAACATTTATTCTTAACAGAATAATGCCATTAAATATATTAATTCAATTAATGCTTATGTAAGTGAAGTAGGAACTATTTTTCCCACTTCACCCATTAGGAAACTAAGACTCAGAAGATAAAGTAATCTGCTTAACCTGCCCAAGTCCCCCCCATTGCTGGGAAGGGTAGTCAGGATTCAAATCCAAGAAATCTTGACTCTAGAATTTATTTCATAGCCGTTACATTATATGCAATTAATGTATAATACAATTTTTAAAAACTAGTTATCTTTTATTAAGATGAGTGAACTCACTAAACAAAATCAACATTCAAATAAGTCTATTTCAAAGATAAAGAAATAACAAATCTAATGGACCAGTTTAAAAGGGTTATAAAAGAAACACAAAAATTGAGATCATCGTTAACATTCATCCAGTAAGCTCATTATGTGGTTGATTTTCAAAGGAAATCAGCAATAATTTAGTGTAAATTGAGCTACGAAATACAAGAACTCATTATACACAAATTCTTAGTCCTTTCTGTATTCAAATAAACCTAAAACAGAAAAGAACAGTTTCTGGAAAAGAACTATAGTTGACTTCATAGCATCCTCTGGTGGGTGCTGGGTCCTTATCTTAGTATCCTCAAAGAAAACAACTGAAAGGGCATTCTTTATGCTAAGCTCATTGCAGTCACCTATCTTCAAAAAAAAAAGACTAAATATTTACCTATCTTCAAATTCGAGATTATAAAAAAGTTAAACCACTCCTAAAAGTATATAATTTAATTATCACTTTCTTAACTCCATAAACAGAAGACTACAGAAAAGTTTTGACTATTTCTACAATATTATTCAAAAACAGAAAAAGTTATGGTTTAGCTAATTAGCTGCATGGCACTGAGCTAATTATAATTACTTCACCTCATTGAGTTTTAGTTTTCTAAGGTATAAACTGTAAATGGGGATAGTATATGACTCCAAGGTTTTCACTGAGACAATTGGACATGCAAGTCCCTACCCTCTGCCCAGACCATATTAAAGAGTGCAAAAAATGTTATATCTCTCTCCCTTGAGAAGGGATTCAGGCAAATACTTTGCCTACATCCTAGGATTTCAACAAGTGTCTAATTAATCTTAAATATTTACCTATATTGTTATATTCGTTTCAATCTTCATAGCAATCTTTGGAAGACAGACATAACTTACTCATTTATACAACGTGCATAATAAAAGTGCATTTAATTAAACAAGATGCGCATTTGTAAATGGGCATAATATAGGTTCATTTATTGACCTCTATTTAGTTTGCACTTGCCAAAGTAATAAAGAGAACACAGATATGACCCTCATTCTGAGCTTCCTGAAACCTAGCCCTTTGTACTATATTATGCTGCAAACATCCTAGAAACACTCTGCTGAGGAATGCTTTTTTTTTTCAGGAAGATTAGCCCTGAGCTAACTACTACCAATCTTCCTCTTTTTGCTGAGGAAGACTGGCCCTGAGCTAACATCCACGCCCATCTTCCTGTATTTTATATGTGGGATGCCTACCACAGCATGGCTTTTGCCAAGCAGTGCCATGTCGACACCTGGGCATTTTATTGTTCCAAAATGAACCACAAAGATTACTTTCTGTTAACAAGGAAAGGACACATTAACTTCATAATGGAGGGATCAGGCTGTCACTACCAATTCAGTGGTCTTCCATAGAATCACGAATAGTGTGACAACTAGATTATGTATGTCCTGTTGTGATGTTAGCTGGATGACAGTCAGGATGCATAAATATAAATTTTCCTCAAATATAAGACCAAAACATACTCTCTTCGTCAACCTTAACAGAAGATTCAGTATATTTATATGTATTATAAATGTATTTTATAAATATTTATATAAAATAAAGTTATTTCTGTCCACTGAAGAACAAGAAAAAAACTTAAATGCAAAGCATTTAAAATAAAACTAAGTCCTATCACGGAATTCTAGAGATGCCCCCGTAGGGTAAATGACAGCGCCCACTCCCAGCGCGTTCTCAGGGGTTACTCGGGCTTGGCTCCCGAGACACGGTGCACCCAGGCCATCAGCTCTCTGCCTTCAACATAACAGCACGGTAAACGCCACCAGACACCCTACTACTGCACTAAAGCTTATTAAACACCAAAGCAGTGTAGAATTAGAATGACTCACAAAAGAAATGTTTTCCTCCTTAATTTCTGCCAAAGCCTCACCAGACTGGCCTGAAGGTGATTCTCGGTCCTAGAATGAGAGTAGAGACGGGAATGATTTCGCACGGCCAGCACAGGAAGGGCCCGGGTCCGGCGGCCGCAGGGTCCCCGCTCCGCCGCCCTTCTCGGGGCAGGGGCGCCAGCAGCGGGCCCAGCGAGCGCGGCGGCGGGCCGCAGGGCACCCGCTCCTCCACGCCGCGGACAGGGGCGAGGGCGGCCAGCCTGCCGCCGGGAGGGGAGCCGGGCAAGGCAAACGCTGCCTCGACGCCAGCGAGGACGGTCTTCCCTCCTAAATTGGCCCACCCAGCGTCATCCCCGACACTCCGGGCGCCAAACTGGAGGTAAGGGGCGGCTCCCGTCCCCGCTGCGCTGAAACCACCCCCGTTTGCCCCAAGCAGTTGCCCCGAGCCCGAGACTTGCCCCCCCCGCGGTCGGCGACCGGCAGCGCTGCCTCCCCGTCCGCCATTAGAGACCCAGCCAAACAATACGTGAGAAGGAGAGCCGCGCAGCGCAGCGCCGGGCAGGGGAGCAGCGACGGGGGGCCCGCGGGCGCCAGGCAGCACCCTCGCCCCGAAAAACTTGGGGCCCTCGGGCCGCGGCGGACGGGCGGGAGCGCAGCCCGGCAGCGGGAGGGCGAACTGAGGCACCCCTCCCCCACCCTGCCCCCGCCGCGAAGAAAGGAAAAATGCCCCGCGACCTCCCGCCGCCCCGGCCCCGCGGCCCCCGCCCCGGCGACCCCCGCCCCCGGCGCCGCCTCACCCAGCCCGCCCGGCCTCGCCCTCGCTCCCGCAGCCCTTCGGGCCGCACGCGAAGGCGCCTCTGACATGAGCGGAGCCCGGCGCAGCCCCCGAGGCCCCGACGCGGCAGCGGCGACGGCAGCGCGCCGCGGGGGATTAATCCCGGGTCGGTGGGAGGCTCCGGAGGCTGCCCTCACCCATCTCCGCCTCCCCAGTCGCCCCCGCCTCCGCCTCCTCCTCCGGAGGCTGCGCTGCGCCCAGCCACCCCCACTATCGGCGGACCCGGACTGGAAAGACAGCGGGGCTAAGCCTCACCCGGTTCTGGCTGCGGCTCCGCGGAACGAACCTCCCCTCCCCCGGCCCACCCCCCTTCGGCAACACGCACAACTCCGCTCGGTCCAGTCCCGGGTTTAGCGCTGGTGAGGAGGAGGAGGCGGAGGCGGCGGCGGCGCGGCCGAGCCCGGCGAGGCCCCGTCCTCCGCGCCCCCATTGGCTGGAGGGGAGGGCGGGACGGGGCGCCTCGGGCGCGTCCATTGGCTATCTCTGCCCTCCTTCAGGACCCCCCTGGAGGGGGTGGTCCGAGAGGCTGTCCGTCAGGCGCAGGCCACGCCCCCGGCGTTTCCATTCCACTCCCCCCGCCGCCAGCCCTCCGCTCTCAGCCGCGTCCGCTCCCTCCTTACCCCCGCCTCCTACCCCGCCCCCACCCCGGGTCCGTCAGGGTCAGGCAGCCCGAGCTGCGCTGCCCGTTGCACCGGCCGCGAGCTCGGCCCCTGGGGGACGGGGGACCCTCCGGGGCCCGGAACAGCCCGAGAGGCTGAGGCCGGGGCCGCCTGCCCTCGCTCGAGCCTGGGCGCCCGGGCCGCTGCGGCGGCTCCCAACGACCCTGCCCGAGGAGAGACGCGGCCTCGATGTCCCCAACGCCCTCCCTGGCCAGTTCCTTGAAGCCCCCCGTGAGGGCCGAGCCCGGGCAGGGGCTGGAGCCAGGCAAAGTGGGAGGTTGGGTCAGCAGGTGAAGTGGATTCCCGAACGCCCAGAGGAGAGTGGAAGCGCTTCCACCCTCGCCTCACCCCCGTGGGGAATTGTCCCCCCACCTCCCGTCATGGCTGCTGGAGGAGACGACGTCCTCCATTTTGTCGGGACTGCTGTGGGAACTTGGGACCAGTTCAAACGCAAACCCCGTGGGGCTGGGAAACTTGTCCCCGGGAAGCCCCAACTGGACTCCGCCATTCGGCCCGAGGGGACAGCCCCTGCCTCCAGCGTCTGCATCCGAGGGGCCCTGGGGCACGGCACAGGCGCGACGGCGGGGAGACCCGGACGCCGCTGCCCGCCTCCATCAACCAAGATGGAGGAAGCTGCGGGCGCCCCTGGAGCTGGGCTCCCGCCTGTTGGAAGGCCGGAGCCTCCCCTCGGTGTGTCCCTCGGCGCTGCCGTCCTCCTGCTCCGCAGCCTCTCTCGCTCGCCCTCCCTCAGCCTCCACCCAGCCTCTCCACCGCCTTCCACCCTCTCCTGGTCCTCAACGATTGATGGAGGCTCCACTGCACGGCGCGCCCAGTCGCTTCGCCCGCCCGGGGCCGGCCCCGCCGGGGGAGCGGGGCGGAGAGGCTGCCAGCTGCCGCGCGCCCCGGGGCGGCCGTGCGCGGAGAGGCCACAGCCACCGCGGGGCTTCTCTTTTGTTCCTCGTCTACACCTCCGTCTTGGGCGCACGTCATGGTGCTGTGCAATTTCCAAGATTCCACGTAAAGATGAAAGGGAGGCCTCTTCCGTCTCACCCTAGCGGTTGTTAGTGGGATTACAACGAATGGTGGGGGGTTTAATAAAAGTTGGTGAAACACCCTATGGCCGAAATGTCTGGGAATACAGGTAACAAGGTGTTTTTTTTTCTTTTCTTTTAACCGATTGAGACCCCTTTGATTACTTCTTCTGGAGTATGGTAAAGACACAAGTTTACTTAGTGACAGACACAAATCATCTAAGACAAAAGCATGTTCTTAGATTTATGAGAGTGCTGTGTAATTTTTTATATTTAATGCTTTATTTCTTGGACATTCCTAATGTCACCAAGATTATTCAAGTCCTCAATCATTGGTTGGAAATACTTGAAGTGGCAAAACGTAACGCTAAGATTTTAATCCCTGTTGTAAATTGTAACCATCCCTTTTCTGTTAAGCACGTGTAAATGCAAAGGTATGTTGAGTTAATAGAGAAAATTTAAGGTAAGGTCCGTCAGGGACTTTAAATGTTAGGTTCAATACACATTTCATGTATTTTTCGGAGCACTAACTTGCTCACAATTCTGTGGCATTGATACTGTTCAAAATGAGAATTTGATAACATTTGTTTTCCCTGATAATGGCAAGAGTACCATGTCCATTTACCAATGAAAACTCTTACTTTGGTATGCTGCTATGATTTCAGGGAAAGTTGAACATTTAGAACATAGAAAGTCTTCAGTCGTGATAATATTTAATAAATATGTCATAGAAAATTCATTTTCTAAATAAAATTTCTTTATTAAATGTAGCCCAGTGGTTCCTATGCGGCTCACAAGAGCAAACTAAAGAAGCCGTATGATATAGCTGAATGACATTGAGCTTCCCGGGGCAGAAGACTTGAGATCAAATTCTTGTTTGTTTTGCTGCTAATTACAAATGCTTGACCATCTCATACTCTCCTCAGCGTCACTTGCTGTTTTGCAATACAATGATACAGGATGTTGTAAGGTCCTAATAAAAAAAAATTGTAAAACTGATAAATATGGGGCCGTCCCTGTGGCAGAGTGGTTAAGTGCTGCGCTCTTCTTCATTGGCCCAGGGGTTCGCTGGTTCCGAGCTGTGTGTGGACATGGCACCGCTCATCAGGCCGCCCTAAGGCCGCATCCCACATGCCACAACTAGAAGGCCTCACAACTGAAAATACACAACTATATGTGGGGCGGGGAGCACGCTTTGGGGAGAAAAAGGAAAAATAAAATCTTTAAAACTGATAAATAGCAACAACAAGACAATGTTATTTATTATGGATCTTTTGATAGAGTTACCACTCATGGAAAGGCAGAGAAGCATTGTGACTGAGTACACTTTCTGGAGCCAGATTACCTGCCTTTGGATCTTAACTTTATCACCAGCTAGCAAGTTGCTTAAACACTCTCCCTCTTACTAGCTACCACATTGAACAGCACAGATGCAGAATATTTCCATCATCACAGAAAATTCTATAGGAAATCACTGCATTCATCTTAAGCATTATTAGGAGAGAGGGAAGAAAGATTGAAAAGCCAATCAGCCATCTTAAGCTTTTCAATCTTTGTTCCTTCTCTCCTAATAAATTTTCCTGATTATTTTATTGAGTAAAATACTTTTTTGTTTTCTTCTTGTTGTTGATTAATCCAAGATAAGCACTAATTCCTTCAGTCTCTTTTCTTCTAATCTTGCATCCCCAAAAATGTTTTGATCTATGCTTGTGATACTTTGTGTAATGCTTGGATCATGATTTCAGAATTTTATACTAAAACACTTTCTGAGAATAAATTTTGGTTCCAAGTATATTTTCTCCAAGGCTTCTTCATTTTATGTATTGATTCCCAGCATTAAACCTTTCTTTTTGTATTACAAAATAATGTGCTAATTTTACGTTAAAGATATTTTTCTTTCATCAAAATATTATTGAAAAGAATTTTTTTCTTAATGTACCACTGAACCAGTTGAAAATTAATAATAATAAAAAATTTATCAACCTCTTAGTATGTGGCAGGTGCAATTCTAAGAGTCATATGTGTGATAATTCATTAAATCCTAAAAAAATCTTCTCAAGTATTTTTGTTATCCACATTTTATTATTATCCACATTTTAAAGATGAGGGAACTGAGACTGAGAGGGTATAAGTAACTTGCCTGTGATCACACAAATAGCTGGTGATAAAGTGAAGATCAAACCCAGGCAATCTGGCTCCAGAGAGTGTACCCTTAGTTACAGTGTTTCTCTGCCTTTCCATGAGCAGTAACTCTTTAATTATCAGAAGATCAATAGTAAATAACATTGCCTTATTGTTGTTGTTAAGCACTTATTAAACATAGACAAAAGCCCTAAGTGGTTACATAAAATAACAGAACTAAGATTACTCAAATTGTTTTTTCATCTTTACAATGGCTTCTGCTGTCGTCATTGACTTATTTATTTATTTATTTCGAGGAAGATTAGCCCTGAGCTAACATCCGTGCCCATCTCCCTCTACTTTATATGTGGGACGCCTGCCACAGCATGGCTTGGCAAGTGCTGGGTAGGTCTGCACCCAGGATCCAAACCAGGGAACCCTGGGCCACCAAAGCAGAACATGCGAATTTAACCACTGCACCACTAGGCGGGCCGCTTATCATTTAATTCTAATCTATTGTTTAAATAAACCAATATGTAGTACCACAAGGGTTGGAGACCTGAGCTACACATGAAGGAAGCTCTAATGATGTAGAATTGTGATAAATTTACTCTCAAAATAAAGATGTTTAACTGAGTTTGTGTGTATTGAGGTGTGATAGTAGTATTGGGACTTTTCCACATTAACTTTGATGGAAAATGCAATGTTTATTAAATAATAAGCAATAAACATATTAATTTGGAGTTTATAGGATTATTATTAATACTCAACAGTACCTGAAGTAATTGTTTAGTACCTAGACCAACAAAAGATAATTTTGAGACATATTTTACCAATGACATTATTTAAAATTGCCTGCACATAGTAATAATAAAAAGCAGGTTAATTTTTAGTAGATTTTATCAATGTCTCTAAATTCTCTACAGACAATGCAACTCTTAATTACAACTTCCACTGCTGCCTACCTCACCCATGGCATGCTACCACATGCCAAAGTCATGCTACCACAAGCCAAAGAATGCCTGAAGAAACCAGAAACTGGAAGAGACAAGAAACAATTCTCCTTGCGAGTTTAGGAGGGAGTGTGGACCTGATGACACTTTCATTTCAGAATTTTGGCTTCCAAGGAGCCGGCCCCGTGGCCAAGTGGTTAAGTTCGCACGCTCTGCTTCGGCGGCCCGGGGTTCGGACTCTGGGCGCGGACATGGCACCACTCATTAGGCCATGTTGAGGCGGTGCCCGACATGCCACAACTACAAGTACCCACAACTAAAATATACAACTGTGTACTGGGTGGATTTGGGGATAAAAAAAGCCGGGGGCGGGGGAGAATTTTGGCTTCCAGAACTATGAGAGAATGAAATTTTGTTGTAAGCCACCGAGATTGTTTGTTATGGTAATTTCTTATGGCAGCCCTAAGAAGCCAATATACTACTATAGTGTAGCTATAAAGCAAAACAAAGAAATGAAGTAAGAATTAGATAAACCAATGAACAGTTTTGTTTGAAGATTTTAACACAGCTGCTCTCAGAAATTGGTAGATCAAGGAGATTAAAAAATAAGATGAAATACAAAAGATCTGAACAAACAGTTGAATTACTAGATATATATAGAGAGAATTACACAGTTAGCAAACAGAAAATAGACAGCCTTTTCACATTAAAAATATTTACAACAATAGATCAGATTTGGCCATAAAGTAATACTTAATGAATTCTAAAAATCAGTATTATACAGACCATGTTCTCCAACCATGACCCAATAAAATTTAGGATTAACAACAAAGTTTCTAAATACTAGGGGTTTGAAAAACTACAGAAATTACTAAATAACTCTTGGGGTAAAAGGAAATTATCAAGGAAAGGAAGAAATAGTTAAGAATAAAATGGTAATAAGAACATAAAATGTCAAAAAATGTGGAGAAGACACAAAGAAGAACTTGGAAGATGTACTTAAAATACAGGCACACCTTATTTTACTGTGCCTCACTTTATTGTGCCTCATTATTTTATTGCACTTCACAGATATTGTGATTTTTACAAATTGAGGTTTGTGGAAACCCTATGTTGAGAAAGTCCATTGGTGCCATTTTCCCAACAGCATTTGCTCACTTTGTGTCTCTGTGTCACATTTTGCTAATTCTTGCAACATTTCAAACTTTTTCATTATTATTATTTCTTTTGAGAAAGATCAGCCCTGAGCTAATATCTGCTGCCAATCCTCTTTTTGCTGAGGAAGACTGACCCTGAGCTAACATCTGTGCCCATCTTCCTCTACTTTACATGTGGGATGCCTACCACAGCATGGCCTGCCAAGCAGTGCCATGTCTGTACCTGGGATCCAAACCGACGAACCCTGGGCCACCAAAGTGGAACGTGTACACTTAACCACTGTGCCACCGGGCCAGCCCCATTTTCATTATTAAATTTGTTATAGTCATCTTTGATCACTGATCTTCAATATTAGTATTGTAATTGTTTTGGGGCACCACGAACCATGCCCATATAAGACGACGAACTTAATCAATAAATGTTGTGTGTGTTCTGACTGTTCCCCCATCTCTCTAGCTCTCCTTAGGCCTCCCTATTCCCTGAGACAAAACCAATTGAAATTGAGTCAGTTAATAACCCTACAATGGCCTCCAAGTGTTCAAGTGAAGGGAAGATTTGTATGTTTCTCCCTTTACATCAAAACCCAGAAATGATTGAGGTTAATGAGGAAGGCAAATTGAAAGCTGACATAGGCCAAAAGCTAGCCCTCTTGCGGCAAGCAGTTAACCAAGCTGTGAACGCAAAGGAAAAGTTCTTGAAGGAAATTAAAAGTGCTATTCCAGTGAACATACAAATGATAAGAAAATGAAGCAGACTTTTGCCGATATGGACATCGTTTTCGTGGTCTAGATA